CACAGAAAGATGGAAGAATCTGGGCATAAGCTTCGGGAAAGAAGACTTGATCAAACTAATGGGATTGAGAGCCTAGAAAAATTTGAGATCATAATAAAGGCAAACAGCACAATAAAGGCAAATAAAACCTATAATAAGACAATTAGAAATACCAGGGGAAAAAATGTTTAAGAGAGTCAAGGTACAAATATGAAGAAACTAAAAGGTGACACAAATGTAAACAACTGATAAGAGTAAAATGAAAAAAATCTGACTTTGGTGCTTGGATATATCTTCCTTTGATTGACCCAGGAGTCCTGACCCAAGACCCAATGTTCATGTCTAAAATCTAATCTTAATACACAGACAATGAATTCTATTGAGAGAATTGCCATAATGTAACTGTTGCCTACAGATTTTCAACTTTAAGAATAAATTGTGAAAAAAAAGGTCAATTTGGGGGCAGAAGCACAAAACCTTTCTTGGTTATGGGTTCAAGGCTTTGGAATGCTAGAGTGTCATTGACAAAAAGCAATTAATATAACTAGTAGCTACCCCAACCCCCTTGATTTACAAAATGAGGAGTCAAGAAACACTGTCAAAAGTTGACCAAAAAAATAACAAAGGTGACTTAACAGACAAACTCAAAACAATATAAATCTTAAATCTGGGAGAGAACAAAAAAACGTAAGGAGCTACATACAGTCTCACTTTCATATCAGGAGTTAAAGTTTATAGGTCAGAATTAGAAATTAAATGGTTTAAATGCATATAAAAGTTAAGAAGGTAAAAATCTCCCTGGCCGGTTTGGCTCAGCAGTTAGAACATCAGCCGGCAGACCTTAGGATCACAGGTTCAATTCCCAGTCAAAGGCACGTACCTGGGTTGCAGGTTCGATACCCAGGAGCCCTGTAGGAGACAGCCAATCAATGTGTCTCTCTCACATCAATGTTTTTCTCTCTCTCTCCCTCCCTCCCTCCCTTCCACTCTCTCTAAGAATCAATGGAAAAATATCCTCAGGTGAGGATTAACAAAAATAAATACAATTTTTTAAAAAGGTAAAAATCTAAGAATTAAATACAGAAATAGTTAAGAATTAAAAGACTCTCTTTGTGGGGTTTAAGGACGTGAAGGAAAGCGTTGTTTTTCAACAAAAGTCCTTCTGTTCTGTTGAATTTGTTACCAAATGCATAAATCACTTTGACAAAAATAATTTTCTATGACATATTTCAAAAAAGGCAAAACATGAAAATTCTTACTAAAAACTGGGAATGGCAGGCAAACATTATAATTGGAATTGTATTTAAGAGTGGGGAGAGAATTTTTTTTTTCCTTAGAAAATATTATGCAAATAAAAATTTTCTGGAAAAACTGGAAGTTCTATGGAAGCCAGATCATTTTATTCTTTATAATTTGCCATTTTCTGGTTTATGTACAAGACACATGTATCCCATTTATAACCAGAATTTTTTTTTTTTTTAACGTGATCACCGTTCAAAGTCAGCGTGCCAGGTTGCTAAGAGCCCGATACCTACACACACACACAGCCTGATTTATGATCTGGAGGACAGAAGAACAATGCAGTCATTTTGAGAGGCCATGTGTTTGGACATTTGATCTCTGTGGTTACACGCTGCCCTACAGGAATGCCTGAACGGCACACGAAAGGTGTGAACACTCGGGAAAGGTGCCCTTTAAAAGGTCCCAGAGAGTGATGACATCATAGACCTAGGAACAATCTTCCCTGAGAAAATGAGTAAAAGCTCTTGAAAGCGTCTTCGATGTCCCGGCTTCATTTTCCACAAAGCGCCTTGTTCAGGCTGAAGTGACGTGGGGACGAGGGTGGACATGGGGGGGAAACGGAAAACTGCTCTGTGAGCAGAGGACGGCGGATTAGAGGGCCAATCTGGGGTCCACCGTTAAGTAATGACATGACTTCCCCACCGTCAAATCCTCAGCTTTTTAGAGAGAGAAAAAAGGACCCTTATAGATTCTAAAGCACTTTGGTTTCTGATTTATGAAGCCCTAGACTCCTGACCTAAGATTCTACTGCTAGCCCCATTTCACAGATGATGGAGCAAAATAATGAGTAGATTTTATGAAAATTAAATCAGGGCCACCCTTTTCCACACTTCTACTTCCATCCACCAAAATACACTGCCTTTCCAGGCTGTGCAGCAAAGTGACACAGCACATTTACTTTATTCCAACTCTAAACAAGTCCGATAGAAGCCCAGAGAACTCTTGGCAGATTGCTAATCTTGAAAGACAATAGTCCTGATGACTTAATTTCTTTAATTACCTTACCTCCTTAGCCAAAGGACTTCCAGGGACGGCATGGATCGGGCTGGCCTACAACCCACCTGTTTTTCAGCTGCCGTTTTCCCTGAGGACCCCGTGAAGTGAAGATGCAGTTTACTGTGGGGAGTGGTTGTGGCTGGGGAGATGGCCGGATGGATCGGAGCAACCTTCTCTCCAAGCCTTCGGCTAACTTCCGCTCTTACCCTGGTTCCACATGGCTCTGAGCTACTCCACTCATTCAAGGCTTGTACAAAAGAGAATTGTTTTGTTTTGCTTCTTTTGAGGGTCTCTTTTTCCTAGCTTCCCTCGGATAATGGGTAATCCCAGCTCTTCCTTCTTATACAGTTCTGTGTATATTCATAAACAGTTTAAAATCACGTAGGTCCAAAAGAGATCCCCCCAAATTATTGTAAATTATTTTGTCTTTTTCTACTTTATTTCTTACTAAGCCCATTTCTATAAAAGTCACCATAAAATATTCAAAAGTGCATTTACCTATTAATACAAGATGCTGTTCTGGATCTTTGTGTACGACAGAAACTAATGTCATCCTTCCGAACAACCTCATCACATTGAGGAAAACGTCATGTGATTACATCACATACGTGAATTCCACCAGCCATTTAAAAGTCAGAGGACTAAGTACATGTCCACACTGTCCCTCACACACAGAAGTCCAGTGATGGAATAAAATGGCCACCAAGTCCTTCTCAGCATTGCACCAACCCCAGAAACAAAATAAAGAACTCCTCCTTGCACAAGATGTCAACAGCTTTGGGATGGGGAAGGAATAATTGGTCACCAGTATGAGTCAAAGAGTTGGTTATAATAAACTTCTTCCATTACTGTGTATTCATGAATAGGGCCCTAGGATAGCAAAGTATCAAACATTAATGCCAAAGAAAGGACTGATTATATACATATTTTTAATGTTTGTTTGTTTTTAATCCTCACCTGAGGATATTTTTCCATTTATCTTCAGATAGAGTGGGAGGGAGAAAGATAAAAACATCAATGTGACACCCTGGATCAGTGGTGAGAGCGTCGGCCCGCAGACCAAAGAGTCGCGGGTTCGATTCCCATCAAGGGCACGTACCTCAGTTGCGGTTTGATCCCAGCCCTGGTAGGGGCTGGTCAGGAGGCAACCAATCGATGTGTCCCTCTCATGTCCATGTTTCTCTCTCTCTCCCTCCCTCCCACTCTGTCTGAAGATAAATAGAAAAAATATATGTATATATATTCTCAGGTGTGGGTGAGGATTAAAAAACAACAAACAAACAAACAAAATGGATGTGAGAGAGATAATCAATTGGTTGCCTCCCTGACTACCCCGACCAGGGCTGAGGACCAAACCACAACCACAACTGTGTAGGTGCCCTTGACCGGAATCCACCCCAGACTCTTTGGTCCAATGGCCAACGCTCTAACCACTGAGCAGGCTTTGAGCCAAACCGGCCAGGGCTGTTTTTTTTATTGATTTTTTAGAGAGAGAGGGAGGGAGAAACATCATGTGAGAGAGAGAGAGAGAGAGAGAGAAACATTGATGGGCTGCCTCCTGCACGCCCCCTACTGGGGATGAAGCCCGAAACCCTGGCATGTGTCCTGACCTGGAATCAAACAGGGACTTCTCAGTCCATGGGACGCTCGCTGCTCAATCCACGGAGCCACACCAGCGGGGCAGTTATATTTTTTAAAATCACATAATGTCTTCACTTCCGAACTAAGGCTGCTGCATCACAGAAACATGGGCTTTAAATAAATAAACACTAAAGGCAAGTTCTTGCCAGAGAAGTTTCCTCAGTGGCTCAGGCAATCCTGACCCAAGTGGTCGGGCAGGCCCAGTGCCCATCCAGGCCGGGAGAGCCTGACCCTCCATGGCCTCCCTGGTTCCCTTTCAAGTTCCAGCTGATTTTGCCTCTGGAACATAATTATCTTACGGTACCGAATTTGAAACCATCTTCTTCACCCTGTGAACGTAGGTTCCTGTCCCAGCTCAGGCAAATCCAGTGTAAACGTCATTACATCAGAAAGGCGGAACAAGGAGAAGGGAAGGAGGACAAAGCAGGCTCCGGATTGGCTGCTATTTTAGGTTACCAAGTACTACCCAGTACAACTTCTGACCCAATTTCCACACAACTACTTCACCAGCAGTTCTCATTACATCACTGTGCCGTGGGGTCATTACATCACCCGGCTGGGAGGGCCTACCAGGCAGTGTCCACTTTTCCAGCTTGCTCTTCCCCAGAGCAGAGACTGCAGACCACCTACACCCCCAAGAGTTCCGAGGTCCTCTCCCCCCCACGCCTGGGAACTGTCCCCACCTTGTAACTCGGGGGCGCACGGGCTTGGGTGTCTGAGTCACAACGACCAGGGCTGGCAGTGCAGGCTTGTGCCCAGGAGTCTGTACCAACACTCCAGATTAAGGGCCAAGTCGCCTATGTGTTTCATGAGGATCCCCCCAAAACTACTGTTATTTCCCTTACGTCTAAGAATGCCCATGTCCTGAATCTCTCGGGACGGGACACCCTGGAAGAATATCACCAGACTCTGCTTCGCATCCCTTACGGTTCCAGCACCCAGGGGCCCACTCCTGGCTGCCGGGGTCCCAGCTCTCGGGAAAGAACCCGGGAAGGACCCAGCACCGCACACCCCCGTGCGTGCGCGCGCCCTGGGCATCGCGGCTCCGCGCCCCTCCCCCCGCCCGCGCCGGGCCCACTTACTTGAGGAAGTACCTCTGGCCAGTGGCCGTGAAGGTCATCTCCCAGCCCGGGGGCAGCGGCAGCTCGTCGGTCACGTCGTAGGACTGCTGGCGGAGGTGCGCGTGCTGCTGCGCCGCGCTGACCGCTGCGCCCGCGCCCGGGCCCAGCTGCAGGGACGCGGGCGACGAGTGCGAGCGGACGTGCTGGGCGCCGCCGGCCAGCCGGGGCCCCGGGTGGCCCCCAGAGGAGTCGGTGCTGGACTGGCGCGAATGCGAGCCGGAGTCGGGCTCCTTGAAGAACGACTCCGGCAGGATCTTCTTCCGCCACGAGCTGGGCTTGGGGTTCATGACCGAGTTGAAGAGGGCTTCGAGGTCCGTGTCTAGGTCCTGCGTGACGTGGATCACTTGCTGCCCGGGCGGCGGGAGCGGAGGGGGAGCCGAGGCCGGATTCATCTTCTGCAGGGAAAAAGCTCAGATCAGCCTTTTATGTAAGGTCGGAGGAGGAGGAGGAGGCACTGGGAGAAAATGGAGAGGAAAGAAAAAGATGCGGGTGGGTGTCCTCCTCGCGATCCCAGACACAGCCATACGCCGGCCGCGTGGGGGAGGGGTCCCTCCTGGCCTCCAGAATTATGCAACTTTCTTGGAGCAAAGAAGTTACTCGGAAAAGGAAGGAGTGGGGGAGGTAATGCGCCCGCGACGTTGCGGAACAGGTCGCACCTCTCCGGGGCGGCCAGCCCCCACCCGAAGAAATCTCGACCCCAGCCAGCTCCACACCTCGACCCCGGAAGCCCGAGGGGCCGGGCACCCCGGAGAGGCGCGCGGGCGCGCTCCAGCGGGCACTACCTGGGCGCGCAGCGAAGCTGAAGCTGGGCGTGCGGCGGCCGCCGTCGGGCCTGGGTCGCTCCGGTGCGGCGCGAGCTGGCAGGACTGGAGCCCGGCTGGCGAATCCCGACCCGCCTCGGTGCCTGGCAGTCGAGGGGCTTCGGCTCTCACATCCCCCAAACTGGCCTCAGGCGTTTGCGCTCTCCGAGGAGGCGGCGGCGGCGGAGGCGGAGGAGAAGCAGACAGCGCGGCCGCGGCGGCTCCCGGACTGTCCCATAAACAAAGTTTGGAGCAAACTCCCACTCCCAGGAAAGAGGCGGGCCCGAAAGTTGAGCTGTTGAATTATGCATGACCTCCAAGTCCCGAGCCTGCCTGCCCCCGCTGGTCCCTCCCCTTCCTCCTCCTCCTCCCTCTTCCCACCCCGGCTCCAGAAAACCTTGGGCGTGATGGGTACTTTGCAGGCTCAGAGCAGACGCCCCCCCACTCCTCCTGTCGCGCGGACCTCTCCCGCGGAGCCGGGCTCTGCATTCCTTTGAGTTTACCACGGACTTGGGGCGAGATCAAAGGGAAAGTGACCCGGGCCTGTTTAATCAAGGGCTTGTGGACCGAAACCAAGGCCGGGGGCGGCGGAGGGCACGCGGGAGAGGGGCCGGGGCCGAGGAAGGGCCGGACCTGGGCGCCGCGCCCTCCCTGGGTGCCGGGTGCCGGGTGCCAAGGCCGGGAGCGCCGCGCTGATCCGGGCTTCTGCCCGAGGGCGGGCCCGGGTGCGCCCCGCACGGGGAGACACCAGGGCCAGCCTTCACCCGGGAGGCTGCTCAGCGCTTGTGACCATATTTGGTCTGGCGAGGAGGCATCTGGGCTGTTTGGCTTTCAGTTGTCGGCTCCAGCGCAGACGGTGCCCAGAAAGTGCCTCTGTCGTTAGAGATGCGGCTTCACCCACGGGTGCGTTGTAAACAAGCAACCTTCAAACCACTCATCGGCCCTTACTTTCCTCTCCGGGGTGTCTCGGTTCACCAGAGGCTGAGAAGCAGCTTAGCAAAGCCGGGTGCTGGAATGGGACAGTGGTCGTGGTCTCCTCCCCCGCCACATCCGCGCGGGTAGTGGGAGGATTGGAATGTCCCTGCCGCCCTCCAGAGAGCCTGGAACCGGGATGGAGCCCAAGCAGGTGGCTGGGAGTAAAGAGGGTGCGCCAGTGACCCGGAAAAAGCCTCTCACCCTCCCACGACTGGATCTGGGCGAGGGTGGAGACCCTCTGCCCCTGGATCGAGCCTGGCTAGACAGTTTCGAGAAGTAGCAGGCGCCCTGCCGTCCGGAGTGGCTCAGTCCCTTCTCTCCTGTCCCGTCTCCCCCGGGGGGAAAGAGAGAGTGGACACTAGGTAAGTCACGCTTCAGACAACCCCTACCCCACCCCATTTGACTCATACAGAAGTTTATGAAATAAGTCAAAAAACGCAAGATATGGAAAGTACTTTGAATAGTGTCCGGCCCAGCTACATACCTGTGTGTAAAATAAAATAGAATTGTATTACGTGCAAGTATGTGCCTCAACATTGTTATAAGGGTGAAAAGAAGTCAGAATTAGAAGCTAAAGTGTCGCCTTGGAAAAGGTAGGAGTGTTTGGAGCCTCTCCCTCAGTGGCTGCTGCCCATCACTGCCCCAAATAGAGCAGAGCAACCAAGTGAACCGCCTGCCCGCGTTACATGTTCTTGCGCGTGTACTCAGCCCAGACTCCTCGCGGCGGCGTCTCTCGGTGGTTGGCGCGTCCCCCCACATACTGAAAGGTTTGGGGTTCAGTCCTCGGTCAGAGCACATTCCCAGGTTGTGGGTTCATCCCATCGATGGAAGGCAACCCATTGATGTTCTCTCTCACGCCAATGGTTCCCTTCCTCCCCTCCCCACCCTCCTTACTCCCCCCCACCAAAATAAGCATATCCTTAGATGTGGATTTAAAAACATAAAAAGATTAGGGCTGCCTTAGGGAAACACAGCCATGGGGATCACCTTCAAAGATAAGCAGAGGTCTGGCAGGTGTGGCTCAGTGGTTGAGCATGACCCATGCACCAAGAGGTCACCAGTTCGATTCCCGGTCAGGACACATGCCCAGGTTGTGGAGCCGATCCCCAGTGCAGCCAATCGATGTCCTCTCTCATCAGTGTTTCTATCTCTCCCTTCCTCTCTCTCTAAATCAATAAAGGGAAAAAAAATTCTTTTTTTCAAAAGATAAGCCAAACAGGGCACCTTCAGGAGGCTGGAACTCTGGGTTTCCCACGCAGCAAGTACTCTTCCCACCGGACCCTCGTGGGGAAGGGGGAAGCCACCAAAGTCACTCCATGGGAAAGGGCGTCTTTGCAAAAGCTGTCTTCAGAAGCCACCAGTTTTTTTGTTTTTGTTTTTTTTATCCTCACCCGAGGACATTTTTCCATTTTTTGTTCAGATAGAGCGGGAGGGAGAGAGAGGAAGAGAGAGAGAGAGAGAGAGAGAAACATCGATGTGAAGGGACACATCGAGTGGCTGCCACCCGCACCACCAACCAGGGCTGGGGACAAACTGCAACCGAGGTACGTGCCCTTAGCGGCAACCGAACCCAGGTCTCTCTGTACCGCAGGCCGACGCTCCAACCGCTGAGCCAAACCGGCCAGGGCCAGAAGCCACCAGTTTTGATGATGGGGAAATTAGCTATGAAACGGCAGGAAGTGCCTGGGACCACGTGGTCACTACTTCAGAAGCTGCAAGGCTGACCCTGATGATTAAAGGATGGAAGCGAGGCCTGCCCTGCTGCAGGAAGGACCTCACCCAGAGGGAAGGCCCTGCTTTGTAAGGAGCGCTGGCTGTCCCAAGCGACAATGCTGACGGAATCACGACGCCAACCCTGCGATGAGAACGAGGGTTGGGGTTGGATGGGCCAGGATGTTGTCTTCACTCCTTACTAGGCTTCAAGAAATAGTGGAGGACAGAGGAGCAGATACCCGAAATGAAAACTGAATAGCAGCCCTGGCCAATTTGGCTCAGGGGTTAGAGTGTCGGCTCATGGACCAGTGAGTCGCGAGTTCGATTCCAGCCAAGGGCATCGGTTGAGGCTCATCCCCAGCCCTAGTTGGGGTCGTGCGGGAGGCAAGCAGTCGATGTGTCCCTCTCACATCGATGTTCCTCTCTCTCCCCCTCCCATTCTGTCTGAATAACAGATATCCTCGAGTGAGGATTAAAAAACAAAACAAAACTGAATAGCAGAAAAACTCAGAGAGAAAACTTTCAGTTCCCAAACAGTTATAAGATGCCATTGTGGACGGTTGAAGAGATTTGCTTGAGTCCTTCACCTTCAAATGATAGCTTCGGGTTAAATAACATTTGCATGTGCCTTGTCTTGATCAGGTACTGCCCGTGTGAAGCAGCACGGTGCAGCAGACACATGTATAATCTCGAGCAAAATACCTAAGCTCTCTATCCTGGGTGTTCTTTGAAAAGTAGGGTCAATAACAGTACCCACCTCACAGGATTCTAGATCTAAACACTAGACGGGCATACCTCGGAGATATTGCAGGGTTGGTTCCAGACCATCACAGTAAAGCAAGTATCACAATAAAGCAAGTGTAATCTTTTTTTGGGGGGGGAGGGTCTTGCCTTCCATTTGTAAAAAAAACAACAAAAAACAAAACACAGCTTTTGTTAGCCCGACAAAGCAAAGCACAGTAAAAGGAGGTACGCCTGGCAGATTTCATCTGCTGTCCCGTGACTTAGAACACGAGCTTTGATTGCCAGCTCGACCCCCTCCACTGGGCAAGTACCGTGTCCTCCGTAAGTGACAGGTCGTTCATTGAGGAACTGAGATCACATTGTGGTAGTCTCTCCCCAGCAGACCGCCCTCCTGGAGCGCCTCCCCCTGACATCTGCACCCGGCCCTGACCCTGCCCACACCAGATCAGGTGTGGAAGTTTCTGCTGTTGTACTTCGGGAAGCGTTAAGCCACTCTGAGCGAGAGGGCCAAGGACGCTGCTGGGGAGAGAGTCCCCGCGACTGTGCAGGGAGAAACCAGCCATCCGCAGTCTAAACGGCGCCCAGCCCCCGCCAGATCGCCAACTGGCTGCCAACACTTGGCACTATCGAGACCAACGTGAGAACCACAGAGCCTAGCCCCGCCCAGGTCGCAGCACTGTGTGCAAGTGAAACGGACACTGTTTTAAGACACTACATTTTGGAATTTTTAAAAGATGCAAAACGGACATTGTAGGGATTAAACAGACATTGTAGGGATTAAATAGGAAAATGCTACTAAAGTTCTCCACACAAGTCCTGTTACATACTAAAGCACTCGACAAGTCATGGGTGGGATTTAAGACCCCAAAGAAGAGATGCTATATTATCTAGAGCCCCATTTTACAGATACGGAAACTGGCCCGATGAGTTTTAAAGTATTTTGTCCGAGTACATACAATGAATCTGTGAAAAAATGAAAAACCCACCTGGGATTCAGCCCAGGGTTTGTAATCCCAGATCAGATTGCTTTTTCCATCTCTCACCCTGGGAGAGCCAGAAGGCGCCGACTGGTATTGTCATTTTCCATCAGCGTTATTACTCTTGCTCGCCTATCTCCTTGAGAAACGCCGCCGTTTTTTATAAGATAATCAGTTGCGAGAACACTCCTGCGGATATGTAAATCTCTCCCTCCACTTGCAAAGACTTTCCACTGGCTCGTGTCTGCTTCCCCGTGTTCCCAACACACTTCCCACCCTGCCTTGGCTGTCCCTCCACCCTCTCTGTCCACACACAACCAATGGCAAGTGCCGTGGTGCTGTCTTCTGGTGTCCCTCAAATCCATCCTCGCCTCCCCTCCCACCCCAGGACCTTATCTCCACATGCTTGCAGCGGCCCCTAACTGGTCTCTCTGCCTCCAGCCTCTCGTCTCTGGTCTCCCGTTTCCATGATGTCATCCCTTGGCTCACACACTTTTAGCAACTGCCCACAAAAATAAAAGTCAAAGCCATCAATCCGGCACCCAGAGTCTCCCAAGAAGCTGCCATCTCCTGGCCGGCCGACCTCGATTCTTACCCAATGTGTCCTCCGTCCACTGCAGCCGGGCTCTGACCCCAGCACGGCGTCCGCTCCCTCGCTGGGCTCTGTCTGACCCTGCCCTCCACCCTCCATTGTCGGCCTGCATTTACCTCTCCCTCCTTTCCCCCAAAATCAGGTTGTTCTTGTCTTTTTCACTCCCTTGACACACAATGATACACAAC